AATGTTATTATATTTGTCGGTCATGAACAGGGGGTTTGGCGGGTGGATGGAATAGACTTTGGTCTTTGTTTATGAGGACGGCCTGGTTTATGAAATAAATCTAGAAATAAATACCAATTACCTATTTGTCTTATTCCTTATTTGTATAATAATCCGTTCTAATCATAATATGGATCGTTTTCCCTATGACAACATCCCAATGAACTAGTTAATTTATCTGTTCATCTGAATGTGTTGCTTAAGGCTTAAGCAACATTAACTCATTAAGATTAAATATCAGAGTGAAGTCGACAAGACGGCATCTGTGAAGAGTACAATATTAATGGAAACCAGGAAAGATTATTTTAGAAGGATGATGGATGAATAGGATGATCACTACAGCCTACTAGAAGTTATCTACTTGAACAATATGACATATAAGAATCATGACGTCATAGGACACACTAACATGATAGAACAGAATAGAATGTTTGTTCAATGGTAAACAAGCTCTAAGACACACCCAATTTGTCCTAGATTCTTTATAAACTACTTTATAACTGGCAGCTGGCAATTGTCAGCTGCCAGAAAACAAGTCTCCTTCCACTACAGTGAAAAAAAGTTTTCCACTGCCATGAAATCATCCCGCTCCACTGCCGAGCTGGATGATTTCACGGAGCACAACAAATTGTGTAGTTAATTACTTACGAATGACACAGCTAAGTACTCTGTGTACTGTGTATTAAGTACGACTGTTAGGAGGTGTTAAAACTTGTTCCAACGTTGTACCAACGTCGTAGTTTCGGTGTGTGTTTGGCGGGTATGGAACTCTGGACACCCTCAACTCCCCCCCCCCCCCAAGGAGAAGACTTAAGCCTACACTATTCTTATGAACGCCACTACAAATGTTAAATTTGCGAAAAGAACACAACAAGTGGGGTATGCAGATAATGTTCTAATACAAGCCTCAACCTTATCTTGAGGTTATCTTGAGATGATTTCGGGGCTTTTAGTGTCCCCGCGGCCCGGTCCTCGACCAGGCCTCCACCCCCAGGAAGCAGCCCGTGACAGCTGACTAACACCCAGGTACCTATTTACTGCTAGGTAACAGGGGCATTCAGGGCGAAAGAAACTTTGCCCATTTGTTTCTGCCTCGTGCGGGAATCGAACCCGCGCCACAGAATTACGAGTCCTGCGCGCTATCCACCAGGCTACGAGGCCCCATAATATATCTGTGTGAAATAGTATATATAGTAATCTAATATATCTGTGTGAAATAGTTTAAATCCGTTTATTTGATATCTGTGAAGAGATGCATGTCTTGGAGTGTCATATTCATGGAAACCAGGAAAGATTATTTTAGAAGAAGACCAATGTATAGAATGATCACCACAGCCTGCAAGAACAATGTGACCCATGTAAGAACCCCATACTCATCCTGTGAGCGGTAGCGCAAAAAAGCATTACAGAGGGCACAAAAGGTCTTTATTGCCTCTCTACTGCCCGAAACGCTGCGCGTGCTAGTGGCTTTACAAGACTGTAATTACCATATTTGTATCCTCACATTCCTTATGTACATTCTTGTATATGCATAAATAAATAAATAAATAAATAAATAAATTTATCAGACCTCATCTTCGATTATTACATAAACAATTTCATCTATCCTTCACACCTTATAGTTACAATGATAGCTAGTTACAGAGAAAGTGCTATTTCAAGAGCTATACATTTACAGTAAGTCAATATACATTAATGGTAGGTCTTATCGCTAATACATAATAGTTTGACCAATGGTGATAGTCATAGGGGAGCTGCTGTTTATTATTAGTCTTCACAATACACTACTTGTTTCTTCATCTCATATGTCGTTTATCTACTGGAAGCGAAATATGGATACAGTGCAAGGCTCTTAAGACATGCCCTCTTTGTCCGAGATTCTTTATAAACTCCCAATTGTCAGCTGCCAGGAAACGAGTTCGTCCCCACCCACATAGACTTGTTCAGCTGAAGGCATATTGTTAAGTTCCTCTTTAGTAAATACAGAGATAAAAAAATTATTTAAAATACTTATCATCTCTTCGTCATTATCCGTCATCTGACCTGTACCAGTTTTTAATGAATCTATCCTTTCTCCTAATCTTTGTTCGATATAACTGAAAAACTCCTTTAGGATTTGTCTTCGCTTGCCCTGCTATGCGAACTTCATAGTTTCTTTTTGCTCTCCTTATCTCTTTTTTTAACATTTCCAACCAGTTGTACGAATTCTTACTCTAAACTAACTTCCCCCATTCTTAGTCCTTTAGTACCAAAGCTCACTTTTCTACCTATAAGGTTCTTCAAATCTTTTGTTATCCATTTCGGGTCATTATTATTTGATCTATTCAATTTGTATGGTATACTGTGCTTTGCTTAGAATATTTTTAAATAAGCTATATTTTGAATCCACATCGAAATCCCTGTTTACATCACCTATCGTTGGGTTCACGTCTCATTCCAAGACCGGCCCACCCCCTATGCCCAATTTATTTGACCCCAAAAATTTATTAGACTATTAAAATCAGCTTTTAGAAAATCTGGCACTTTAACAGAATTTTCTCCTACAAATCTATTCCATTTTATGCTAACTCGGATTTCTTTGTGATCACTGTTCCCTAGCTCATTCCCTATTTCGATGTCATTAATTTGCGTTTCCCTGTTAGTTAACACCAAGTCTAAAATATTTTCACGCGTTGGTTTCTTAATGTGTTGCATAAGAAAGCAATCGTCAATTAATTATTGAAAATCTTCCTTTTCATTATTCCCTGTCCTGTTAAGCCAGTTTATTCCACAAAAATTAAGGTCATCCATGACACAAATACTGCTTCACTTAGGCGATGAGTCACAATAACGTGGCTGAAGTATGTTGACCAGACCACACACTAGAAATTGAAGGGACGACGACGTTTCGGTCCGTCCTGGACCATTCTCAAGTCGATTGTGAGACTTGAGAATGGTCCAGGACGGACCGAAACGTCGTCGTCCCTTCAATTTCTAGTGTGTGGTCTGGTCAACTGCTTCACTTAGACGCTCTAGATATTTCTTATCATAAATGCTTTGCTTCAATTATGTCCAAGCTTGGTGGGCCTGTATAGAACTCATATTACAGGATTTTTAGCTTTTTCGTTTAATTCTAGCCAAATAGTTTCTGTGTGTGGCTTTGATTTAATTTCCTTTGAGGCTATTTTTAAAATTACCCTAACATATATGGCTACTCCCCCACTTTGTCTAATATATCTATCTGTGTGAAACAGTTTAAATCCGTTTATTTGATATTCAGCTAATAGATTAGTTTTCTACATTCATCCATGTTTCGGTAAGTGCAATGATATCTATCGTTTCTCTGCAGACAAGAGCATTTAAATCATTTATTTTGTGTCTTAGACTCCTACTGTTTGTGTAATATACCCTAAGTGCCAGTCTCCGTGGTGCAGTGGTAAGTCACTCGCCTGGCGTTCCGCGAGCGCTTTGTCATGGGTTCGTATCCTGGCCGGGGAGGATTTACTGGGCGCAAATCCTTAACTGTAGCCTCTGTTTAACTCAACAGTAAAATGAGTAATTGGTTGTAACAACGATTCTTCGCGGCGGGGATCGTATTCCAGGGACCTGCCCGACACGCTACGCGTACTAGTGGCTCTACAACCATGTAACAACTCTTGTATATATCTCAAAAAAAAAAAAGTGTATTGCTATTTTGATGTCCTCTTTCCCTGTTCATTTTGCAAGTATTTTTCCCCCACAAACACATACGTTTATTGCCTCCTTTCTCCGTATTAATTCCCATATCACTATCTACCAACAGCTTAAACCCAACCCAACCTCTCCCACCACAGGTTCCAACGAGTTGGCAACAGCAACAACCCAGGGAGCCGGTCGGCCGAGCGGACAGCACGCGGGACTTGTGATCCTGTGGTCTTGGGTTCAATCCCAGGCGCCGGCGAGAAACAATGGGCAGAGTTTCTTTCACCCTATGCCCCTGTTACCTAGCAGTAAAATAGGTACCTGGGTGTTAGCCAGCTGTCACGGGCTGCTTCCTGGGGGTGGAGGCCTGGTCGAGGACCGGGCCGCGGGGACACTAAAGCCCCGAAATCATCTCAAGATAACCTCAAGATAACCCCAGCCCTCGATAGATGCACCCCATCCCGAGCATACACGTCATTCCGTCCTCATTATCTATGAATGATATTGCATTTGATTTACAATATTTGTCCGGTCAGTAACTGACACCAAGTGCCCTCGACAACCATTCATTTCCAACACTCTCTTTCTTGGAAGAATGCGACATATGATCAAAATTCTTCCTTGCTCGTAGCTAATTCTATGACGACTACCCTGCCCAACCAGTTGGGCTGGAGTCAAGCGTCATGCAGGTTGGCGTTCAATCCCCGACCGTTCAAGTGGTTGGTGCACCATTCCTTTCCCCCATCCCATCCCTAATCCTTATCTTTACCCCCCCCCCCCTTCCCAGTGCTATAGCCGTCATAGTTTGGCGCTTTCCCCCTGATAATTCATCCACAGATCCCAAGTATCAGCTATTGGTACTGATAATGGCTCCAAAGGGCCCGTGCTCCAAAGGGCTATTCATGCCCGTGCCACTTTTTGGGTGACTTAAACTTTATCAATCAATCAATCCATCCCTGATAATTCCATTCCCTTCCCACGTGAGACCACGCAGAGTACTCACCAAACAACTCATCAGAGTTGTACTCTGATGACCAAACAGAGTACTCATCAGTCACTCACCTCGCAGGACAATTACTGATTGATTGATTGATTGATGAAGATTAAGCCACCCAAGAGGTGGCACGGGCATAAATAGCCCGTAAGTGGTGGCCCTTTCGAGCCATTACCAGCATCAAAAGATGATACTGGAGATCTGTGGAGGCGCAACTGCACCCTGCGTGACGGGAGATGTCTCCCGGACCAAGTGGTGACCAAATGGTGGTCGACAATTACTCAAGAGACAGTCGTCATTTACTCACCAAGGAAGGCGGTGGGTGAGATGATGCCGGTCCTCTTGGCCACGACGATGGCGATGCCGGTGTCGAGGAAGGGCACGGTGAAGTCCAGCACCTCTTCCCGCTGCGAGTTGATCTTGATAGAGGTCATGATCATGTCCGCCTTCCCGCTGATGATGGCCCCCGGGAGCCCTGTCCACTTGCCGTTCTGCAGAAGGAAACATGCTAAGTGCTCTCCGATGTCATATAGAGACGAAGACGGCAACCTGAGCCACAGACAAATATTTTCACGCTTTCTCGAAATCCTCACTTTTTGAGGGAAAATATTTAACGGTGCCTAAAGCCGCTTGAGTGTGCTCGATGCACTCATTAAAAACAAAAAGTTATTTTTGCCCAAACTAACATTTGAAGACATGATATACAGTGATATTTACAAGACATGATATACAGTGATATTTACAAGACATGATATACAGTGATATTTACAAGACATGATAAACAGTGATATTTACAAGACATGATATACAGTGATATTTACAAGACATGATAAACAGTGATATTTACAAGACATGATATACAGTGATATTTACAAGACATGATATACAGTGATATTTACAAGACATGATATACAGTGATATTTACAAGACATGATAAACAGTGATATTTACAAGACATGATAAACAGTGATATTTACAAGACATGATATACAGTGATATTTACAAGACATGATATACAGTGATATTTACAAGACATGATATACAGTGATATTTACAAGACATGATAAACAGTGATATTTACAAGACATGATATACAGTGATATTTACAAGACATGATATACAGTGATATTTACAAGACATGATATACAGTGATATTTACAAGACATGATATACAGTGATATTTACAAGACATGATAAACAGTGATATTTACAAGACATGATATACAGTGATATTTACAAGACATGATAAACAGTGATATTTACAAGACATGATATACAGTGATATTTACAAGACATGATATACAGTGATATTTACAAGACATGATATACAGTGATATTTACAAGACATGATATACAGTGATATTTACAAGACATGATATACAGTGATATTTACAAGACATGATAAACAGTGATATTTACAAGACATGATAAACAGTGATATTTACAAGACATGATAAACAGTGATGTTTACAAGACATGATATACAGTGATATTTACAAGACATGATATACAGTGATATTTACAAGACATGATATACAGTGATAGACTACGACCGCGCGCACCAGCTGCCCCAGGTGGCACTCTTGAGTGCCAGCCGACAGGTGCCGCGCGCGTGTCTAGTCACACAGGTTTTGGGGGAATTTCCCGGAAGTTTCGGACGCTCTCACCTGACAGGTGGCGCGCGTGTGTCTAGTCACACAGGCTTTTGGGGGAATTTCCCGGAAGTTTTGGCGTGTTGTGTTTGGGTATGTGGACAGGAAAGAGGGGAGGTCATGTTGGGCAGCTGACAGGTGGCGCGCGTCCCTCTAGTCCTCGCGGGTTATGGGAATTTCCCGGAAGTTATGGCGCGTGTCGGAGGTAATTGGAGCGCGTCGCTACAGTCCTCGGGGGTTAAGGTAAGTGGTCAGAAAAGATGAGAGTAAGTGGTAGAGTAAGAAAATAGAAGGAAGATGGAGGAAGGAGTAAAAGAGTTGATCGTGAGTTAGTGTGTAGATGAGAGGAGAAGGCAGCACGGCCTGTTATGTTGTTTTGGGATGGGAGCTGGATGGAGTTTCCCCTTCGTCTGGAGAGAGTGCTCTGGGCCATTATGTGGTTAGACAAACCCATTGACTCCCCTACAGGAAATCGCAAGTGTTGAGGGGTGAGAGAGCACTCTCCAGCGGAACTGGGGGACCATTTGTCTAAAAGGTTTTCGTTGTCTTTAGAAGAGTGGAGATGTTCGTCCCACGACGACTTCCCATACACTGTGGATTCCGGTAAGGAGGCGCGAGGTACTTACTCCTGCCGACAGACAGACCCTCACCTGTCACCCATCAATCACTTCTCATTTGACCCAGGTCGTTTCACTCCCCTCACACACAAACGCCCCGCCAGTTCCCTGCGAGACTTCATCCGCTACACACGCGTCATACAGCTCCATGTCATGGAAAGGCGAAGCTCTACAGCATGCATGAAATGCGGAGTGTTTTATATTCCATCACCGAATCAACTGTGTCGACTGCAATGCGCTAGCTGTGAAAAACCGCCCCTAGGACATTACGACATCAAATGCAAGCGATGTCAGCAGATTTTCTGTGATAACCGTGAGTGTTATTCATATTTAATATTCCACAGTTCATTTTATGTCATCCACAGGTGAAATATCGCGTGTAAACTACTATAGTGTGAGAATATTTTCTCATTCGAGCTATTACATTCCACACAGTTAAATATGTTCTTTCCAATTTCAGTTTACAAAACCGTGAAGTGTCCTTATTGCTCACCCACCCCGCGAGGAGGTCATCGCCGGAATGAAACTTCACATAAACGTAGGTAGCATATAAAATACACTTCTCGTATCTGTATTTCATCCACTTGCAAGCGAACACACATGCATAATAATAAACATATTTTTCCCCATTCACCCATGCTGAATATCATTTGTTCCATTTCAGGTTATAATCCGTACCTCAATCGACGGAGGGAACAGATCGACGTCATCGAGCCTATACCCCATTCCTCACACACTGAGCTAAGGAGTGCACATCTCACTCGCGGCCACCCCCCACCCCTTCATCAAGGTCAGCCACCCCGCCAGATGGGGGGCTACGAGACCGTATCGCCCCCTGTTAACACGATGTTACGAATTCATACCCACTCACCTGCTCAACCCCTTCACCAGGACATAAGTAAGTTATTATTACTGTCTGATTTCAGTCTATTTCCTAAACATATTAATCCACACTAGTCTGTTCCCATACCTCATAATATATACGCTTTCATTCATATATATATATATATATATATATATATATATATATATATATATATATATATATATATATATATATATATATATATATATATATAGATATATATATATATATGCTTCATTCTTTCTAGAGATAATATGTTTTCTTTTTTTACAGACGACACACCGCTGTGCATAGATTTGGCATCCAGCGACAGCTGCAGCAGCAGTGGCAGTGAGAGTGACACAGCAGGGCGGGCAGTAGCCACTTCCGGCTCTCACAGGGAGGGGAGGAGGAGGACTCGTTCACCCGCTCACTCAACCCCCCATTCCTCCCCCAGCCCCATACCCCAATCAATCAGCGACAGCTATGACAGCAACAGCAGCAGCAGCAGCAGCAGCAGCAGCAGCAGCAGTGGTGAGAATCGTACCATTTTCATCTCAGACAGTGACTCAGACGACAGCTCAGCAGACCGTGACCTTGACCCGCCAGCGTCTGTCAATTCTGACTTGTTAGCACCGTCTGGCGTAGTAGCTGAGCCAGTGGTCTCACCCATTCATCTCGGAGGGGGAGGGTTATCACCACCCCCCACCCCTCCCAGCCCCATCCCTTCACCCCCTCCACCTCTTTCCCCCTCTCCTCCACCTGCCCTAGAAATTCAACCTCGGCTGCTGGATCGAATTGATAACTATAACGGCAGTTATGTCCGGCTTTCATTCTCCATACCAGAACATGTTAACACCTCACCAGGACTCTATCTGAGAACATATAGGGATTTTTTCATTAATGAGATACGCGCCCTCTTCTCTCCACGACACCCATTCCTCCTAATTTACCCAGACATCACTCTAATTGTGAGAAATTTAAATGTACAACAAGACAGGGAGGATAATCTATTGGATCCTATAAATAACGACGGCTTTCCCATACGAGGTGAGGGGCAGAGAATTACTCTAGAGGAAGTAGAAACTCTTATTGATTTTTGGGCTGATGAATTGACAGAGAAAATATCCCAGTATCTGGAAGCGAAGGAAGGGTCCAATGTCTTGGTTGAGCGGCTCACCGGGTTTTACATTAACTGTGGTCAGATAGAACATCCGATAAGATTAGGCTCGCATGTAGACTATCCTGAAGGCTTGCGTGGAAAAAAGTTGGTTTTCAATCCAGAGGGAGAGGCTGATATTTGCCTTATGCAGTGTGTTGCAGCTTATAAATGTTTAGCTAAGGGAATGCACCTAGATAATATTCGCGCTAGATCTGTGAATGCTAGTTGGTGTCTCAGACACATGAAATGGCCAGCAGATGTCAATTCTGCAGTGACGTTTGAGGATATTCTCAAGGTAGAGAAAATGAATAAAGTCAGTATATTCATCTATTCACTAGAAAGAGATGAAAATGCTAGACGACAACAACAACGACACTACATTACACTGGCTAGGAAGGGAAGAGGAGGATATACAGATGTCATACCATTGCTGATGTTGGAAGCTCAACATTTAGTATTAATTAAGGATTTTAACCAATATGTACGTAATATACGAGATCATGGTGATCGCATCCCGAGTCATCACAGCTTCTGTCATTGTTGTTTGATATCACTCCCAGCAGATAGCATGCAGAGTCATGAAAGTACATGCAAAGTACATCAGACTCTCAAATTCTACCCACCAGAGAGGAAGATTACTTTCCGTAACTATGGACGGGGTTATGGTCCTAGTCACATGTGCTTTTATGACTTTGAGTGCATGCTAGACCGCTCGAACCCTAAGGGAATGATAGAAACACGTCACAATGCAGTGGCGTATGCGTACATCATCATTGACAGACAGAAGAATATTGTTGAGAAAGATACTTATTTGGGTAAAGATGCGGTCAATCACTTTGTAACCACGCTAGAAGCGTCATGGGCACGAATCAAGAAGGGGTTAGTATCCTATGAACTTCACATGTCTCAGCAACAGCAGGCACTATTTGAGACAAAAACAGCCTGTGAACTCTGTGATGAACCTTTTAACGGAGAAGATGTAATCAAAGTCCGTCATCACGACCACACAGTAAGATTCCACAATTATCAAGCAGCTTACTGTGATAGATGTAATTTGCAGTGTGTAAATTCATACAAGTTCCTATACACTTTTTCACACAACGCTTCCTATGATTTAGGAGTAATCCTAAACGAGATGAGAGATAGACCAGGAAGTGAAATAGATATATTAGCCAAGGATGGATTTAAATTTATGAAAGTTGATGTGAACAACTTA